TGCAAAGGAGGATTAATACTTATGAACAGTTAATTAAATTGAACCCAGAGTCAAACAGGCCGAGATCAATCTGCGACCCCTCCGGCTGCTTAGGGAAAAAAGCAATCCATGAATGGTTGGCAGGCGGTTGCTAGAGGTTGCTGACAGAGGTAAACTTGTCTGCACATGAAATTGAAAAGTGTGACTCAAACCAGGAAGAGAGGCCGTTTCTCTTCAAAGTAATAGCTGTGCCTTTTGAAACATATTTACTTTTACTTTAAAGGCACTTGATGTCTATTTGTTTTGCACTAATTCAAGCTTAACTATCGCTTGGCCAGTAGTTGGTGAGTGTTTGGAGACGGGTCAGCATCTTCCATGCAAGCTATGGGCAACTACAGCAATCTCAGCAAACCTGATGGGAATACACGTTTTTCCTAAGCAACCAGAGGCTGTCAGGAAATCGCAGAATGGTTTCTAAGCCTGTATGACCTAAATCTTAGAGCCAACTGCCATAAATGTCTATAATCCCTGATGTTAAGGATGGACCTATGGATAATCACGATCCTCTCCAATCTCAATTTCATCTTGTGTGTCCAACCTGGTTTGCATTCATTGCCAAATCCTGTTTAACAAGACAAACGTTCCTTTGCACTCTCTTTTTAAGGGCAGAAATGTGGGGAAAGTGTGATTTTCAAGCTTCCCCTGGGCATCGAAATATATCCCCCCCATCTATAAGAGAGCAGCTATGAGGCTTTGACACTTCAGAAGATTGAGAGATGGCAGCTCTATCCTCCAGTAGTTCAGCCCCCTACTTCACACAAAGCAATTACAGAGTGCAAAAAGCTCTTATATCTGTAGGAGTTCACAGAGGATGAATAATTAGAATAATCAGAGCAATCCCTACAGAGATATGTGAGCTCATAATTTCACCAAGGTAGAACCAGTGAGAATTACCACATTTGAACAAACTACATTTTCCAAACCTCAGTCTAACAAAACAGTTAAGCTAATTTACTTACATGTTCATCAATGAATGAAAGACAATCATTTCATACTTAGAACACATACCGGTACATGGTTTTCAAGCACCATACCATCCCTGTTTCAAAACAGCATTTCAAAGACATGAAAGCCATTTTTTCAGTCTAATTACACCAGGTCAGACATAATTATACCAAAGCTCTGACCAAACCACTGACTGCTCCATTTGCAGATTAATAACAAACCCACAATGTTCAGTTTCCATTGGGCTGCAGTGGTTCTAAAATCCAGTCTGTTTTCCTTTAGCCACAGCATCTAAAAGGACCCATTAGATGCCTCTACCAGAAAGAATTATATTGAGTAATATTAATGGTTTTAGTACAATGAACTCTTTGTTTTGTGTGCTTACTGGGGATGGGTACCGGTATCCGGTGCCATGATGGCACCAGTTCTGACATAAACGGTAACCAGACCGAAAAGCAGCGCACATTTTGGTGCTTTTTTTCCTGAGACGTCATACACTTTGGATTCTAGCCATTTTACCTTTCCGAGGATAGTAGGCGGGCCCAGGTACGTACGTTCTTTTAGAGCAGAGCTACAGAATAAAAAGTCTGGCTGTACTTCACAGCAAAGGATGCAAACTCAGCAGCCTGCAACAAGTGCTTTAAGCTGATACTGTGCAGAGGTAACACCTCGAATCTGATGAAACACTTGGCGACGCATAGCGTTTTTTTAAAAGCTGAGAAATGCACCGTATTTGATAGCTTGCTGCGAGACCTCACACCGTGCACATCTACTGCGGGTGTGGTGTCTGTTATCGGACCCGGAGTTCGCAACATCCCCCAAGAACCCGAAGAGGCGAGTCCTGGCCACGTTATTACATTAATGCACGTAAGGTGAACTAGCAAACACCGTCATAGTTACATGCGGCTGTCTTCTTGTTTGATGGCAGATACTCCCATCACCCTGACCAAAAAGGCTAAAATGACCAAAGAAAAAGTGGGAAACAGCTAAACATGAGAGGTTTTTAGACAAAATTGGTGTTTTTTCCATTGTTTAAGCACTGCTTCCAGCCAAGAGTGATACCATATATGCTCTATAGCTGCAGAAAAGGCTAACATTGTTATCTTTTTACAAAAAAAACAGCTAAACATGAGAGGTTTTTGGACAAAGTGTGTGTTTTCCATTCTTTAAGCACCAGTTCGAGCACCGTTTAAGCACCGGCACCGTTTCAAAAGTACCGGTTTGGTACTGTATCAGATAAAACCTAAACGATACCCATCCCTAGTGCTTACTGGTAAAAAGAAAATGGGAAAAGATGTACATTGTTAAAAAAAAAATCTAATTTCAATCTATTTATTCTTCTTCCAGACAACAACTGTCCTACTCTAACTCAGCAACTGAACCCAGGCATGAACAGCCTGTCAAGCTTTGGGATTCATGGCATGCGTGTATAAGATGGGTGTTCAGGCAGAACTCTGGGTTGTCTGTTTTGTTAGCCTTTCCAAATCCAAAACAATAGAAAATATAATATAAATGAACTGAATCACTAGGCTATTTATGTTTTACTCTAAGCCATCAAACAACCTTAAAAGCAATGCTGTGCGACATCCAGTGGCACAGAACATTAAAAATACATATGTTTTTCTAGCTTAAGTGCCAATGCTAAAAGCAAGCCTGATGGACTAATTAGCATGCTAGCTAACAGTAGCAACGGGGATTATCTGCTATTCCAACACAAGCTAGTCAGGCCACGTCTTAACAATAAGACGCAGTTGCAAACTATACATCACAATGGAAGCATATGTATATAATTTAACAAATAAATGTTAAATAGCTGCTGGTTTTAGCAGTAGTGTAGGTCAGCAATATATAGAAGATGTGTGAGTCAGCTAAGGATCTATAAGCACATGAAGTGTAGGAGAAAAAAAAGTAGGGGGAGTGGGGAGTCTGTTTCCTAAAAGGCAAAGCAAAGCAGTTCCCAGGCTGAGTGGTTGCCTGCAGCTATGGAGTTACTTAACCCCAGAATTCAATCGAGTTAATAACCAGGCAGATCATTTTGCATCCCAGTAACAGGAGACAGTTTGTGGTTTAAAGCATGACCAATCACAATGACATCCACATCATTTAATTACATCTAACTAAAAGTGCAATTTCCTTATAGGGTCTATACCCAGATCTCAAGTTAAAACTTTAAGGGTTGAAACTATTATGTCATGTACAAAAATCTTCATTGTTTCATTATAAGAAGTCTTAATGCTTTCAATCCAGATTAATCTTTTGCTCATTACTTTATTCATTCACTAGCCCATGAAAGTCACCTTTAAAATAAATAGATTTGCTTGAAAACAATGGGATGGGCAAAGGAAACATTCCTTTCCCCCAATTTGTTTATATACAACAATAAACTACACAAGCATGCTGCACTTTTAAGCAAGGTTAATGAATGTCAACCAAAACAGTTCATTAGTGGGCTGTAAAATAAGAGTGAGTCTGTGAAATGTGCAAAAAGGGACCACAAAGTGTAAAGAGTACCTGAGTATTTTTTTTCCACTACTAAAGATCACAGATAGTATAAAACACAAAAGTAACTTCCAGGCTGAAAAAAGCCAACGTGGCCAAAGTGACTAAAACCTGCATTCTACCCAAAGACCACCAGATGGCGATAGCTGAGGCTGTGACACGTTTACGGCAGAAAAATTAAATTACATCTGTTTTATAAATCTTTTTCCAACTACTTTTCAAAAACGCGGATTACCTGTGTTATGAAACCACAGGATAATTAGTTAACGACTTGTCAACCACACACCAATGAGCGTGTAGTTTCACAGTCAGGTTTTACTATGACGTCACGTTTGCTTCTTCACAACCAAACGTTGCGAACTACATCCATCTTTCATACTGTCAATGTTAGCGACACATTCCATTTTTGCCATTTTTAATTAAAAAATGTTCATGGTGCAGCTTAAAGGTGAATGCAGTATATATTAACTACAAAGAAATACAAAAGGTTGCTTTATTTTTTTCCAGAATTCTTACTTTTAACTTCCCTCTAATCATATTCACAGGACAAATGAATCTAGCAGTAACCCATGCAGCTTTCCTGTGAGAAATTATCATTACATGCAAAAGAAAATAATCGCAATAATCCACCACTGACCTCACTTCAAACGTGGCTTGTCATACCCCATGTGAACAAGCCACATAGCTCTTTCACTAGAATAATCGCCCACCGAGAGGCTCTTGGCAGATCTCAAGGATCTGCTCTGCACTTTCCCCCCCTGCTGAAGCATTAGAAGAATTCAGAATTCCATTATAGAGTATTACCAAAGAGGGAGCTGAGCTCCCTGACATTAGTAATCACTTCACCTGCCTCGTGAGGCCAAAACTACAAAATGCAGTAAGCAGACAGAAGTAATAGTCTGTGGAAAGATTTGAATATCAGATGAAAGGTTGTGCTCCTGACGTTTTGACTGCTGTGAAAGGTTCCATTATATTTACCATTTGATAACATTTAACTTTTGTTAAATTTGCAAATTTTGCAACTTTTGCAAATGTTTCCCTGTCTATGCATTTGAACACAGCAGGAAAGGGCTGAAATATGTGCAGCATTTCCACTTCTAAATTGATGTCCCTCCTTTGCAGTGCATAACTGTCTGACAAATATGGTGACATTATCAAAAGAACTAATGAGCTCAGAGGCATACGTGTTTTGCTGGATTAGATTTGGAGAACCAGTTTCTGATTTCCATTCCTACATCCAATGCAAAGCAATAACACTGCAGGTAGATGCCTGCTGTGAGTATGGTATGGAAATTTATTTCACAGTCACTGCTGAAATGAAACCATTTAATTGCCTCATTCCTTGTACAGAGAACTTTCCCTTTTCACAGTGTCTGTCACTGTTGGCGCAAAATGGCACAAGCCTATTTTGAATGTGTGTAACAGACTCATTAAACGTGACAGATTTCTGTAGACTCCCTAGTCTAGCTCAAACGCCACCAGGTTGAATGCTGAACGAAAGTTTCGTCCGTCCTTACCTCTTTGTCCATGCTGTCCAGGTCCTCCTTGCAGAGAGTGTATAGCGGCATTGTTTCTGACATGCTTGGCTGTCGTTTCCGCCGAGATGGTCCAGGCTGCTCATCATCTTGGCCGGACTCTACTCCCTCGTCTTGCTGACTCTGTGAGGTTCCCCTAAGGTACACAAGTATAAAACAAACGTGAAACACTGAAAATACAAATAACTTTGTCCAAATGTGGTAGCTACATTTTATTCTGAAATTGGTAGTGGGTACTACATCAGAAAAACTGTTTTTAATGGCATCTGTGGTCTTTAAATGCTGTGCTGCTCAGATGTCACATGAAAGTGTACAATGGCCTGAATATTAATGAGAAATACACAACACTGTTATGTTCTATTATATTTCACTACTTTATGTTTTTATAGATGCACCTGCCTGCCCAGAGACCAGTGTATACACTATATGCTTGGGTCAGGTGTGATGTTACAGTGAGCTGGCTAACTACCTCCATGTTTGTTATTACTGCAGCAAAATGTTAGTTACATAATTGCTTTGTCACTTTAACAAATTTACTTGTTTCAAAAAATCTGCAGTTTGATATTATACTACCACAATAACCATGCAAGCTAGCTTTTCCACTCATACTGCCATAATGTCAGGAAGTAAGGTATCGTTGTTCAGCTGGGTATAATGTAGGCATGCTGCACAAATTTGGCAATGGTTAGTTCCCCAATTCCTTATTTGCAAAACAGCCAGCTAAGTTACTAGACCAGCACATGAAATTGGATGATTTAGCTGACCTTATCTATTCAACTAAATGTTTTAGGGAAATCACTTGTAGTTTGTCCGTTTTAGCAAACAAGCTAACATCAGCCTAAACATCAGAAAAACAGCTCCAGGCTGGATTTGATCCTGAAAACCCAACTGACCTTTCACAGAATGCCCTGCTCAAGTCCAACATACTGTTATCCTGAGGGGTAAAATATATTTCTATTTCTTGCAAATGTGATGTCAGGTTACCTGCTCACTCAATGAATTTGTTTGATGCCTTCCATAATAATTAGCTGGTTAACCATAGCGACTATGTCATTGAGTAATGAGGCTATCTAAAGCCAAAGCTAAAATGTCTTTTTTGGCCTTGTGCAACGTGAGTGCTGGAGTCTTTATTGCACTGGGAGCTTGCTGCTTGTTGACGTTTGTGATTACTGGCATCCATTTCTAAGCTGCTGTTAGCGTTTCTCACTGTTGATTGGGAGAACTGAAAAGAAGCATTGGATCTTTTGGATTTTCACAGACAATTCATCGAGCATCCTTCACACTGAAGTTATTCCATGTGCTTTGGAGGCAACCAACAAAGTCAGGGAAGGTCTCTTCAAAAAAAATAAAAATAAAAATTGGATTAGAGAGGATATCTACATCGGGATTAGTTTGTGACATTTCTTTTAGAACATTGAGACGATGACACTTTTTCTCATTTCTATAAAGATGCAGATTAACACAAAGATTTTCAAAATTTAGATAAGAGAAAAACAAACCGAATCAAACGAATCACCTTCCAGGCACAAGGATGAATTAAAAAAACAAAGAGTATCATTATCATTTTTCTGTCATATTTTTCTCATTTTATTCTTGATGCTGTATATGTTATAGTGATATTTACAGGAAATGTCAGGCACCAGAATTAGGTTGCAAACACTGTACATAATCAGCTCATAGACAAGTAGGTGTAGGCGGTAAAAGGGAGTAGACCAGTCACAAAACACACAGATAGGCTTTCTTCTCTGTAACGAGAGCCCAGTAGATGCAAATGGGAAGACAAACTTTTCTACGGTTCCTCTTGGCAGTGCTTAATTGAGCAGATCTTCTTTGATGATTCAATCCAAGGTTATGCAACTTCCTGAAAACTCCATAGTGCCTCTAATCTATGAATAAAATGAGCCAATTTTCCGCTTTAGATGATTAATTACAGAGTATGATCACAGATATATTCAACTTAAAAACACTTTGAGCTGCTATTAAAAGTTGGAGTCTGTAATTTTCTGGCGTTATTATAAAGCATGCAGGTCAGCGTCTGCATGTGGCATCCCAATGACAAACTGGCAGTGTTGGTGACTGATGAATGACAGAGTGACAGATCAGAGGTGAACTGTGAAGCCGTCCTTTCACCTGCCACATTATTGCTGTCAAACAAGGACGCGACTGGCAATTCTGATCACTGCATAGGGAGAAAACATCTGACTGCCCTGAATTCAAAAATGTAAACAATACAAGGTGGGAGAGTTGTCTGGGAGGTGAAGCCTCCGTGGCTGATGAATATCTCTGACCATCAAAGACCATCAGTCCACACAATAACAGGATGTTGGAGCCTTTTTATTATTCCTCAGTTGATGGCTAAGGAAGCTATACATCTCCAACGGGGGTAATTCATGTAGTATACTATCACTACACTGGCAGCTGCTTTGGTTTACAAAGAAGGTAAAGATTAAATGAGAGTCAGGAGTCAAAGGAGTACACTGAAGATCTAATATAAAAGAGTTGTCTTTAAGCAGACTGGCTTAATGTGGAAACACTGAGCCACTTTTCTGAAACTGTAGGTACTTTCATAAGACGCTTCAGAGTTCAGCACTAGTTTATGGCAGTATTATAGAAATAGAAAACCAACATATTTAAAATGTAATGATATGATTATTAATACTTTGATAGAAGTGCTCCACGCTCTATTAAACTGGTGCAATGTTGTTGCATTGAGGTTGTGTAATTTGGTATTTTACATGATGCATCATACATGGTGTATGATCCCCCATGATCCCTCACAAAATATTGTTTATTTCACGGTAAAGTCCTGCAGTACCTGAGACCAGACTGCTCTCTGGGATCAGAGAGCAACAAAGATCCTGCCGTGTGGAGGTAGGCTGATGGACGGGACACTGCAGGGCCCCTGCGAATCAGTTTCCCTGTGATGGAGTCATATGTGCGAACCTCTGGAGATGCAGGTGGAGTTCTCGGGTGGATGGGTGCTGGGTGGAAAATAGGTTTCTGCAGGGAGCCCTGATTGTCAGGGAGAAGTGCTGGACTGTTGCTCCTTTAATCAGACCAAAAATAAAAAGGAAAAAGAAAAATAGTCAATGAAGTTTTGGGCTTCTGCAGTTAGTATGCTTTAAATCATCAATTGGCTGGTTTCCATAAGATCACAACGCCCTCACCGTGCTGTCTTAGAGTAATCCTCCTTCAGTGGGTAGAGCTGCTCCTCCACCCTCTCCCACCGTTCTAGACAACTCCAGAGCCAGTCTGGGTTGACAACGTGGAGGTGCTTGCAACCTTGTGCCTGACGGACCTTCTCGGTGCCTGGATGACAGAGATGGAAGAGAATGCGAGCGAGTTTTGACCTTACAATCGAAAGCCATTACCAAACACGCACTCACTCTGCGTCTGCTGAATAATTCAGATAGATGATCCCACTTTCCCTACTGGAAAGCAGAAAATAATTACCTGGCCAATATTTTTTGAAAGATAACAAAGGATCTATCTCTTGGAACCACCTGGGTCAACATCCATTCATTTTTCTTTTTTTTCCTGCCAAATCTGGGCATAATCCAACTCCTAAAAGTCAGGTTTTATTTGATAAAGTGCTGAATAACACTACAGACACAAAGACATCAGACTGAATTACTGAGTGCAGAAACTTGTACTTGATCTACAAGCTGAATGCTTGAGCAAAGTGAGCAAAGCTGCAGTTCAGCTGTATTTTGCCAGATCTATTTACATCCTGGTCAACATACTACTATTTGATAGCTACAAAAGTAAGATGTATCAAAACAAACTAATCTCTACAATTTAAATGTCCAATGTCAAACAGCCAAAAAATGCTCTCAGTGGAAAGATGGCTTTCAAGGAGCCATTCTTAAGGAGATGAAATAGGAAAAAAAGGCTGAGGTATGAAAAATTACACTTGATCTTTACTGAAAATCAACCACAGCAGGTCTTACTGAGTGATGAATTCAAATCTGTAATGTCTAAATCTAGTCATCATCAACAAATATGGAGGTTGTAAAAAGAAAGGTATAACAAAGCTCAGGCTAAGATAAATATCTCTTATAATTTAAACTGTGAATCAGCAAAGCTACGCTAAGTAGAAGAAGAATAACAATATGGAGCTATGATGAGCAACTAAACAAGTACAGCTGAGTTTTTGTTTATAAACCAATATGACTGACACGCAGATTTATACATTAGAATTCACTTTTGATGACCATTAATGTTTGAAAAAAATTATTACAGTCTATCAGTAGCTGTTGAGATATTTGAGTCTAGCGCAAAGCTGGAATGGCAGAGACTGCCAGGATTATAGTCACAGTTGCCATGGCCACTCCAAATCCACGTGGCTATTTTTTTTTTTTTGACTCAAAATGAACTTTTAAAATGATTGATCTGACAGTTTAATTTTTCTGATACCATATACCCTTAACAGCTTTAACAGCAAAAATAAAACTTAACTCAGAGTTTGTATGTGTTTGTGTTAGGGGCCCATCAAAGAACAGAGTCTTGATGGACAGGTTTAATGGAGGAGAACGTGGGGGACATAAACAGCTTCCTGCTGTACCCCATGTCGTTAAGTGGGCATAGATGTTAAAGCTATGATTATTTAATCACTAACTCTCGTAGGATGTGTGTCATGGCTGCCCACTTTTCTGTTCAGCCAACGTAACAGGCATTTTCAGAAGTTATTTCCAGTTAAGTATCCTACTGCATATATTCCATCTCAGGCTATCCTGGTGATGTATGAGGTGACTGATTGCCAAGTGCTGCTCTCAGCAGGACTGCATCCCAGGTTAACAGTGCCACTTCCTATGCTTCTATTCACATGGTAAACTTGATTGGTGGCAATGGAAGCCGTGAATCTACAATTTCCAAGCTGGGTAAAGGGACTCTGACATAAAAACATGTTTCTTTCACTTCAGTAGGTCTAATTAGAAAAATACAAAGTGTATGAATTTCACTTCATTCATTTCATTTCACTTAAGTAATGTTACTTAAATCTGTATGTTTTTATTTTTAGCACAACATTAAAACAAACTTTCATATCTATTCACGTATGCACTTCATTCCTGGGGAAACACTTTCTTCCATAAAGAAAAGCTGTATAGCTATGACAATACATTTTTGCTCCATTAGTCATTCATTGTATTTACAATTACATCTCTAAATGTTAGTTTTCGTTGATGCTGCATTCTTGCATGCATGCTCATATGCATGTCAGTGTAATCTAATCTCACTGATAACCACCTTACTGAGTTTCTGTTTCGGCAAACAGAGCATGCTGCTGCAACTTCATTGGTACTGATGCAAAGAACTAAACCATGTTCGTAAGTTTAACCAGAACTCATCACACCAGCGCACTGCTTAACTGTATGCCTGACCTCTACGATACATCAACTCTAATGACACTTTATTCACTGACATTTAAACAAGCCTTATGTGAGCTTTCTTAAATTCATCCATCCATCCATCCATCCATCGTCATCCGCTTTGTCTGGGGTCGGGTCGCGGGGGCAGCAGCCTAAGCAAAGAGGCCCAGACCTCCCTCTCCCCAGCCACCTCCTCCAGCTTATCCGGGGGAATACCAAGGTGTTCCCAGGCCAGCCGAGAGATATAATCTCTCCAGCGTGTCCTGGGTCTGCCCCGGGGCCTCCTCCCGGTGGGACATGCCTGGAACACCTCACCCAGGAGGTGCCCAGGGGGCATCCTTGTCAGATGCCCGAACCACCTCAGCTGGCTCCTTTCGATGTGGAGCAGCAGCTGCTCTACTCTGAGCCCCTCCCGGATGGCCGACCTTCTCACCCTATCTCTAAGGGAGAGGCCAGCCACCCTTCGGAGGAAGCTCATTTCTGCCGCTTGTATCCGCGATCTCGTTCTTTCGGTCACTACCCACAGCTCGTGGCCATAGGTGAGGGTAGGGACGTAGATCGACCGGTAAATTGAGAGCTTCGCTTTTACACTCAGCTCCCTCTTCACCACGACGGACCGGTGCAACGTCCGCATTACTGCAGCTGCAGCCCCAATCCGTCTGTCGATCTCCGGCTCCCTTCTCCCATCACTCGCGAACAAGACCCCGAGATACTTGAACTCCTCCACTTGGGGCAGGAACTCATCCCATTCTTAAATTCACCATTCACCAAATGTCACCATTAGCAAACCATAATTTGCATTAATCACACAGTTCCAGCATATTGTTACCTTAAAGAAAATCACTAACTATATCTTGCTAAATAACAGGTCAGAAAAAGAGTGAAAGGTAGCAGGCGTTCAGCACTTGAAATCCACTCTTTTTTGGAAACGCTTGAAAATAAACCCATAAAAACTGAATTGTCAGATTTAACTAAAGCTGAGAACACTATGCACAACTATTAAGAAGTAGGGTTGAAACTAGTGATTATATACATAATCACTCCATCATTAATTAAATATTCCTTAAAGGAATAAATCAACTGAGAATGAGATTGCCCCCTGTTGTCCATTATGCGTCCCAGGTTTAAGGGATCTCTGCTTCACGCTTATGGCTTCATCCATCTTTTAATACAGTACATGTAACTTGCGACATCACCACTCAGTACCAACAAAGCCTATACAGTATACTTTAACTAGCACGCATCTGTACATACCGGCTCTTGCTGCGATGAGATGTGTTGTCCGATTGGGATTTTGTGCACTGAGAATCAGATTCTTGCTGATCTTGGCCCCCAGCGCTTTGGCATGATAGTACTCACGGGTCCTTTCCATGGGGTAGTTAGTGGGGTACAGACCACTGAATACTATCATCGTCCCCTCCAGTGTCTTGCTTTTCAGCTCTGGGACGATCTTCCGAATGTCCGGAATTTCAGAGGCCTCCTTCCTCAAGTATGCCTCATAGCGGGCGTAATACTCTGCATGGATCCTTTCAAGCACCTCCTCTAAATAGATGAGATGATCGTCCTGGTCATTATCAGCTTCTTCCTCCTCTTCCTCGTCATCTTCCATACTCTGATCCAGCAGCTCCTCGCCCATGGTAACACCAGACTGTTCACTATTCTGGGACTCTGTTTCTGGCTCTCTCCTATCTGAGCAGCCATTTCCGAGCTCAGGGTCAGGCAGAAGAACTGAAGGCTCTGGTGAGTCAGAGCTGCTTTCACCTTCAGCTCTGCCTTTACTGTCCTCTTCCTTTGCCCCATCCTTACAAGCAGGTTCTTGCGTGGTTCCTTCCTGACCGGATTCCTTTGTCTGGCCAGACCTACTTTCACCGTCACTCTCTGATGAGGGGGGCTTTTCTGTAATGGAGTCACTGTCACTGTCACTGGAAAGGTCAAAGTCTAGGTTATTGGACTCATGTCTTGGTGCCGATGAGTTTGCACCTTCCTTGTCCTCTCGCGTCCCATTTGTATCGTCTTCCTTAACATTTGTAATCTCATCTCTCTGGGTGTCCTTGGATTCTTCCACAGGTTTTGTTTCAGTCTCTGAACCTTTATTTTGTCCCGATTCGTCTTCATCCGCTGTCGGGTGTGTCCGTTCTTTTGATGGCATGTCCTGAGAAGACTGAGGTGCTATGGACTCTTCCTTTCTGGAAACATTATTGTCCTTTGCCCTTTTCCTGAGGCCATTATTTTGCTCATCGACACCAAGCGTCCCTGTTTGTTCTGTGCTCTCTGCTGGTCGACTCGAAGAGCCTCCTGCTGGAAAAACACATAGAAGTTTAAAAGTATTCAAGGACACACGAATTAGAACCTAGAGGTGGGGCTACAGTGAGATCAGCTTCTGATTCCCAAAAGTTACAACAACAATTAAAAAGGTGAGTTAAGGACTTAGCTACTGCCAGTGGTCATCAAAGATTATCTTCTACAACTGATGTGCTCAACAGAGGTTGTGCATTGATACTAGAGTTGCAGTACTAGTAATGGAGTACTGACAGCAACAAAATGGTAATGAACTAATGAATAAAAGAACTGTGCTGGTTTATAAAATTCTTTGATCATAAAACAAATTCATAGAAAGATGGAATGTGTTTTTTTATTCTGTCCATTATGAAAAAAGTGAAATGGGCAATCAATACATTAATTAATATTTATCCCCATCTCACTCCAAGTATATTATTTTAATTTTTGCCCCCCAAACATGTGCCTTACTTCCCTAACAAAACTCACATGTTGGTGAGGTGGTGTATTTCAGGACAGGATCGGGTCTAAAGTGTTTTTTCATTATTGGTGGAATGATTTAGAGGATTGTGTGGCTAGCTAGCTGATTATTCTTCACTTCCACCATGCTAAAGATATTTGGGACATGTCAGCACATCATTTCATTTGCCAACAGTAGGGTGGGTATTAAACCTGGTTACCAACTGAGTTACATTAGTACTACTGAGTACCGATTAACTTAATGATTCCATTGTTGTTAGGTACCAGAACACACATGGGTAGAGGAAGAACAAGACTGTATGAAATCCCTGGTGAAGAGCAACATGTTGAAGAGCAATAAAAATGTCTCAGGTGTGGTTAAACCCTATGCAGGCAGTGCTCTCTGCACCATTTTAACCTGCATCATTTTCCTTTTTTTGAACCCACATAACTTTATTCAAGCTGATGGTTACATGTTTTATATTAATTCTGGAAGGTCTGTTGCCCTCCAATTATAAACCTCTCACTAATAACCCTCCTGACATTTCACACTCCTAGATTTTTGCTCAGGAAGCGCTGTTCCAATTTCCCCTTTTGGCAAACACTTCTTGGAGCGGAGTCTTCCTCTAAGACAAATTGAGGTTGTGTACACTGAATCACTCCGGTGAAAGCAACTCGCTTTGTGCTAACCAATCAGCAGCACAGAATTAAAAAAGAAAAATTTGGAATCAGGTTGTCATGTTTTCTTCAAGCAAAGGAGTTTATCATTTTAATAAGATAGAAAGATCTACTGCAAACTTCGAATGAGGTTCCTTGTTCAAACAAGCGTGCTGTATCACTGTGACCCACAGGGCTGGATGGACGAGAGAGGGCAGTGAAATAATCTGAGGAGGCAGGCCAGTGTGCATCAGCCATCAGAAAGAGAATTCAGCAAATTAAATAGTGGGCAAACAAACTTTTCAACAAAGGCTAATATATTCCAAAGTACAAAGAACCAATTACTCTGACATTATGTGATGCATTTCAAGCTTAGAAAGGTTGACAATTGCGTGGTAAGAGCAAGAACTTTTCATTTAATGTAACTGGAACTCACCCATGATATAACCCACACAGCTCTGGTCCTATATTGTTATTTATTTATTTTTATTTAGTGATATATCAGTTAACCATGCAATAGGCTAAGCTTCAGCTGGACCACAACATAAACGGCTCATTAAAATTTTAAGATCAATCTTTATCATATTTAATTTTTTTAATAGAAAATATGGCTGAAATCTTCTGTGTCTGAATCAGTGGGGTTTATAATATAAACAGAAAAGTAGATCTACTGGGGAATAAATATTTGAGAGCAATACCGAATGCCTCAGAGCTTTGTCCACTATATTGCTTTAGAATATTGAACTACCACCTGGTCTCTGATTTATTCATAAATATAATGTGATTGAAAAATGGTGCATCACAATTCAGCTCAGCAGGACGGCAGAAATTAAGTGTTTGATACTCACAATTTCTTCAATGAAATCAGGATGCCAACATTGATAGTTCTGGTTGTCTGGGTAAGATAAGTTGGTTGTGCTAGTTTTGGCATGTAAATATGCTAAATTATTAAATAAAAATTTAAAAATAGCACTGTTGATGTCAGTGTTATTAGTTCTGAAGACTGGCAGTATAAAAGAAGAACATAGCTTCTTGGTCCTTGAAAAGTGACAAAGTCAGAGTACCCTTGAGCCAACCATCCCTTTAACGTTAACTAGTAATGACTTCATGAACTTCTTCACAAATAAAATTTTAATCATTACAGAAAAAAATTACCAATAATCATCCCACAGATGTAATATTATCTACAGTTACTTTCAGTACCATTGATATTCATTTAGACTCTTTTTCTCCAATTGATCTTTCTGAGTTAACTTCAACAATTACTTCCTCCAAACCATCAACGTGTCTTTTAGACCCCATTCCTACAAAACTCCTCAAAGAAGTCCTGCCATTAATTAATGCTTCGATCTTAAATATGATCAACCTATCTCTAATAATCGGCTATGTACCACAGGCCTTCAAGCTAGCTGTAGTTAAACCTTTACTCAAAAAGCATCTCTAGACCCAGCAGTCTTAGCTAATTATAGGCCAATCTCCAACCTTCCTTTCATATCAAACATCCTTGAAAGAGTAGTTGTCAAACAGCTAAAAGATCATCTGCAGAGGAATGGTTTATT